CCAGGCCACCCGCTCTGGGTGGCCCTGCTTTAGCAGGGGGATTGGATGGGATGATCTCCGGAGGTCCCTTCCAACCCCTGCCATTCTGTGATTCTCCCAGCCTCCATTTCTCCATTTTGAATCTCCATCCTTCACCCGTATCCTGCCAAGACTCTGTTTAACGCATTCTCTGCTTTCTTAATGCCTGTTGCCACGGTCATTTGCACTGTTTCTCTAACTCAGCTCTTGGTCATTTCCTTATTTCCATCTTTCACCTCATTCTGTTCCATAGCACAGCTCTCCCACAGCCACATCCCCTTTCCTCTGCCTCACCACCCTCCTCCTCCTTAGGCCTTGGAGGTGACATCACCTTGACAGTCCCCGCTTTCTCTTGTATATGTATACCCATTAAGGTTTTCCTGGTTAGTGTAAACCCCTGGTCAGGCAGTAGGTTGATGTGTTGGTGCCTGACACTGGAAAATCTGAGTACATGAAGCAGATGTTTTTGAGCTCTCAGCCACATTTTGGATATATTTGGCTTTTTTCCCTTAACGGTGTCCTACACAGCATTTTAAGCTTTTTCCTGTCCGTAGTGGTAAGGACATAATATAATAACACCATGACAAAAAGAAACAGCAAAATCCACATGGTTTGGTGACATAGTCAGATTTAGCAGGTGGCTTTTGTATTAGCAGAGCCAACATGTGTGTGAGCAGATTTCCGTTCAGGGCTGGGAGTTTTGCTAGATAGAACGAGGGGTAATGGTCTGAAGTTGCGCCAGGGCAGGTTTAGGTTGGACATTAGGAAAGGTTTCTTCACCGAAAGGGTTGTCAGGCACTGGAAGGGGCTGCCCAGGGAAGTGGTGGAGTCCCCATCCCTGGAGGTATTTAAAAGACAGGTAGACGAGGTGCTTCGGGACATGGTTTAATGGTGGGATGGCAGAGTTAGGTTAATGGTTGGACTTGATGATCTTAAAGGTCTTTTCAACCTAAACGATTCTATGATTCAATGATTAGATACTGTCGCCTGAATCGCCCTCTGGGCACGCTCCAGCTTGCGCTGAAGCACTGGGCAAGGAGAACGGTGCAGGTTCCGTACTGGAGCTCAAAAGGGCGGCGTGGCTTTTAGCGAGCGGTGGCAGCGAGAGGCAGTTAACAGCCTTTTGCAGCAACGGATCTTAATTTTCTGGTAGCTGATTGTAACGATGGGTAAGCAAGCAAGAGGCAGTTTTAGGTTATTTACCTTGTTCATCTTTGGAGGAGATGGCAATTCTGTATCATCTCACAGAAAGGTGTCGTTGCTGGCTACGGTTTAGCACAGCGTAAGCACTGGCACAGGACTGTGAATGGCTTTCCTTCTGCGGTAATACAAGACAAGGACTTCTGTCTCCAGGTTTTTCAATATAAATACACACCGAAAAATCCTGAAAATATTTAGAATGTGATCTTGTGGGGCTGTTAACGCCTCTCAGGTACCTAACAGGCACAAAGCTCTTTGTTGATAGTGTCAGTATAATGCAAGAAACGTGAGCGTCAACAAAAAGAGTCAACGGGACACACACACACCATCTCTGAAGGGAGAACAATGGAATGCACTTGAGTCAGCCTCGATGAACAAAAAATGCAAGGAGGTACCTTAATAAATGCCAGCAATAGTTCTACTCGGTTGTTTAGGAATGTTTACCTTCAGCCATTCTGAAGGAAGAGAAAATTCACGCAGCCATGTTCCCACTTAGGAAAGTTGGAATGATGACAAATCCTAACTTTTCTCTTAACTGTTCTTGTACCTAGCGCTCTGGAAAAAGAATTGCTGTTTCCTGGGAGAAAATGAAAAACTTTTAGAATTCAGTGCTGGTAAAGATCCTGAAGACCCCCTGCATGTAAGAGACGGATGTGTACGTTGCAATTGTTGTTACAGAAAAATATTAGAAAATAAAAATCAGTAAGCACAAACTTGGATACTTTCATAGCTTGGAGCGGAATTGTAAAGGTCAGTCTGAAGCCTGGGCACAGCCAAGCTCTCGCGTCGCACGCTCATCACGGGCTTTACGCCGGGTTTCCGAGCGCGGCGCGCAGGCTTGCGCTCTCGTTCCTCGTTAGAAAGGCACAGCGTTCCTGGGCAGCACCCCCGAGCTGGGAAGAACCCTGGGGAAGGCCCCGCGGTTCAAGCGGAGGGGAGAGAACTCAGCTCCGGCC